ATCTATATAAATATATATATATAGCATCTATATATAGACATAACATTTGTTTTCCTTTTCTCAGGAGCACAGAACGTTCATGGTAAGTGAAGTGTTTGAAGGTTAATGGTCTGGAAATGCAATGGCACTACAGCTATGAAATTGGTAAGGTGCAGCAGAGAATATAATGACCTCTGGAGAGCAATTACCCCAGTTATAAAAGTATGTCCTTGTGGAGTGCATTTCTAGTCTGCTTTCATCTTACTGCAGCACAGAACGTTCATGGTAAGTGAAGTGTTTGAAGGTTAATGGTCTGGAAATGCAATGGCACTACAGCTATGAAATTGGTAAGGTGCAGCAGAGAATATAATGACCTCTGGAGAGCAATTACCCCAGTTATAAAAGTATGTCCTTGTGGAGTGCATTTCTAGTCTGCTTTCATCTTACTGCGTACGTCCTTTGCATTCTATTTAAGCATAAAGGCTCACTGAATTTCATTTGGAAAAATCTTGTTTTAAGAGAAACATACACATTAAAACAATGCACATGGCTTAGTGACAACTCATCAACCCAACCAACCGACTGACTCTGTTGTTAAAAACGCTCAATGAACACAGTGTTTTCTTCTCTGTTTAATAGTATATAGGTGACGTGAAGATTTTGCTGGCTCAGGGACATAAAGACATATGAGGTTACAGCAGGAAATGTGAGGTTATAGGATGGGTTATGAGGGGCTGCACTCTACTGCCCTCTCTACCCACAGTTCATAAGAAAGGTTAAAAAGTGCACCATATATTGCCCATACAAGATTAGTGTGCAGAGATGTCACCATGACACCTATTTTATTTAGCTGTCCCTCACTGTATTTACAGCACTTTTGCTGTCATATTTCGTACAGTATACTCCTTCAAATAGCTCTGATGGTCCATTTCATATCTTTTTTTCCCAACCTCTCTTTATTGCCCTGATTGCTTCTACACTTACATCTCCCATACTATCTGTTATCCTCATACTTCCACCATTTAACTCTGCTCCTTCTTTCCCTTTTTTGGCACATATGGTAACACAGTCTGGGTGCTCTTGTCACACACGGTCTGGGTACTGCAGTTCCTGGTGCCCCTCCTGACTCCAGCGACTCCTCCTTTGTTGCTCCGTATGACAGCACAAGGGACAGAAGCTCTTGGAGGGTCTCGAGGAGTCTCCTGGCCATAAGGGGGATCTTCGCTGTCATCACAGCAGAGTGCATGGTATAGAACTTTATCACTGAACCTCACCCGGTCTCTGGAACCAGGTGTCCTGGATGGAAGGGGCTTCTGTGGTGGCACAGGAGTTTCTTCACTAGATGAATCTGGCCCATTCGGTGTGGCTCCTCCATTAAGAAGCCTAAAGTCAGGGGGCCGGTCTGAGCCATCTCCAGAGTCAGAAGGTGTGGAGGCTTCTAGAAAAGAACAGAACTCCCAGCTGTCTGAACTCAGGAAATCCAGGGGTCCCAGGTCACAGAGAGGACCTCCCTTTTCACTGCTGGATGTGCTACTAACAGTTCCAGGAGTCCAGTCATCAGTGTCTAGTTCAAACTCAAAGTCCGAGGTAAGTCTGTCTATCTGCTCCACCACCTAAAATATACATACACAATGTTAGTTGTGCTGTCACAGCAAGCTATCTATAGAATATGATCAAATAGAAAAAATTGAATCAATAAAAAAAGCATTGTATGTTTATAAACATTACCCCCACAAAGCAGGTTTGTAACAGGTAAGCCATCTTTATTCATAGGTAACAATAGGTGTGCAATGTCCTATTCCTGAAGATTTTTAGCAGTGTACTAAAAAAAATCTAGCATGCCCAGGTTTGGGCACATTTTTCATTGTAGCCACCATGAGTACCACCATCCCATAGGAATGAATGCATGTACAGTATGAAGAGGAGCCAGCTGTAGGTTTTATTTGCAAAGGCTTTGACTAAACATCATTGCATTGTGGAAGAAGGTATTTATTTTACTGTGGACTGCACTCAGAGGGCTTGGGGGAATTAATTAAAGGACAACTACACCTGAAGTCCTAAAAGATATGCCAAACAGTAATTAAGGCATGCTAAAAGGACATCTTATAATATCCACTAAGAAGCCACTTTAGCATCCTGTAAGCATGCTTTAAGTGCTATTTGATGAATGAGAGCCAATGACTCTTCAATGGACATATATCACCACTGCAGGATAGTGCTGGCACGCCCCAGTCTTTGGGTTAGCGATTTGTCAAGTATGCTTACAGATAGGGTACTGCACACCAAGACAGTCAAATTAACTATAATGGGGTCATGTGTTATTTTAACACATTAACATATTCTTATAAAAGTGTTCAACTCACATACATCAATTTAGCATACTTGAGAGAGTTATTTTGGTAAATAGCCATTTAACCACTCCAAGCCTATTTTTCTTATAAATTGTTATTTTATTTCATGAATCATTCATTGTTTTACTTGCTATTTGCCTCAAATGGCACCTGTTTCTTGTCTCCTCAAAAGACCCCTTCTACAGTTTCACAGTTAACACCAATTTGAGGTTGATAGAATTTTATGGAGCAAAAATATGTGAGACATTTTCTACGAAATTAGCTTTTATATAAAGAATACTAAAAAAATTGATTAAAAATAGTGTACAAGCTCTATAAAAACAGTTTTGGGTTGGAATAAGCTTTCATCCCTAGGTCCAGATCTTACCTGATCGCCATCTGTGCAGAGACCTTTTAATATGTGAACTGACTGATATCCGAGGCTCTCCCTGATGTGCAAAACAATTGGGGGACAAGACCAGAGCATTGTAACCCTATAACAGAAAGTGCCTGAACAAGGACCTTCATGGTAGAATCACCAGATATCCTCTCAATAAAACCTTCAGCTTAAAACATTTTCAAAAATGCATTTTAATGATAGTTTCATATATTAAAGCTTTTATGAGATTTACTGACTGGTTTATATATACTTCAGGTGTACCCAAAGAAATAGAGCAGATTTATTAAAGCTAGTGTATATGTGCCAATAAAAGTCAGGCTCTTTTATGCTGTTCCCTAACCTGTCCTAGAAAAATAACAGCTGGATTCTGCCTTGTTACTTTGGGCATTAAAGATACTTTCTTTCCCCTGACTGTAGCAGCCTAATTTTAGATAGATCATGTAAACATTAATTGATGTAGAAATACACATTGAAATGGGAAAAAGATTTTCTGTATTGAGTAATACAAGTGGAGTCCGTTCAATTCTGTGTAACCCAGAATAAACACTAATGTTGTTCTTGTATCTAAACCTGATCTTTAAATATCAGAAATATCATTTCCATGGAAACATGCCATCTGTGTAAGCTCAATGTTTAAACCAACTCCTCCCCATCATGTCAATGAAACTAAACAATTGCACTTGCATGCCAGTAGCCTACAATAAGGAAGAAGAAGAATCTGGAATAAAACAGTTATTGCAGCTTATTAGAGCTGTGTTTTCACTGAGGTAAGCCTAGATAATGATGCAGACTTACAAAAATAGCCAGTAATCCCTACAATATATGCACATTTCCATGTGTTCCATCCATTTAAAGACCAAGCAACTACAGAAAAATACATTTTCATCAACCAGAAATGCACTCAGCTTCTGAGTCCTGTTGTGGGTGGACTGAGTGGTGTCAGCCCTACCCAGCGTCTTTTGCTAAACTACACAACCACGCCAACTCTCAGCTCTCCACAACATAAAGGTTAATTATTCTGACCTAGGCGGGCACTTTGTGATAACACAGCTCTCTGACAAGATAAACAGGTGTTGTTGCACTTATCAAAGAGCTATAACAAAGGAATTCCAATTTACCAGTTATCATTTCATAGACTGAGGGCTCATTCACACCATTTTGGTCATAGGAATAAAGTCAAAATTCTCCAACTGACCCATGTGGCCTAAAGTTTTACATTTCTGGTAAAATGTAGCTTTAGCAAAAACAATCTCAAATAAAACAATGTCCATATAAAAAAAGGTTTGCTTTTTTTTTACACACAGATTTCAACTAGGATTGACACAATTGAATTCAGTTAGGAGAAAATTGTGAATCTTGCGTGAAAACATCAATAGAGTGTTCTGATTAGTCGTCTTTTTAAAGAATTTATGAGATCTTGTGATTTGGGTGTAGTTATGTCCAATTTAAGAAGCATTATTAGATACAGTATATAAAAATGTGTGAAAGTCATAAGCTATTAGGGAATTATTTGTGTCTGGATTATCTGCAACACTGAAACCCTAGGAGTGGCAAATCCTTCAAAGGTATATGATACCAGCAGCTAGGAGAGAGTTTGTGTCTCTGCACAGTACTAAGGACGGGTATTGAAACCATTACCCTTCTTTCTGACTTCAAAAGCTGCTGGCTGCCAGAACTACTACTACACCCACTATACAGTAATAGGTACCTTTCACATGGGCGCCTTCAGTTCTGATCAGCAGGGGATCCGTGCAGTTTGGAACTGATGTCACCGTTGTGATACACTGTTGTGATACACTGAAATACACTTGAATCCCTTTCTGAGTCAAAAGACTCTTAATATTTCAAAAAAAAAAACATGAAAACATCTCTTTTGTTTTGTTTGTTGGCCTGAAAATAGCTCTAAATATAAAGCAGACATCATTTTGCTTCCAATAACACGTTCTAGTATTAGTTTTTACTACTAGAGTAACATGACACAGGGGGGCAGAACTTGTACACGAGTGTACAGGTGAAACTCGAATAATTAGAATATCGTGCAAAGTTCATTTATTTCACTAATGCAACTTAAAAGGTGAAACTAATATATGAGATAGACTCATTAGATGCAAAGCAAGATAATTCAAGCCGTGATTTGTCATAATTGTGATGATTATGGCTTACAGCTCATGAAAACCCCAAGAACCCCAAATCCACAACCTCAAAAAAGTAGATTATTACATGCAATCAATAAAACAAGGATTGTACATAGAACAATATCGGACCTCTGAAAAGTACAAGCATGCATATGTACTCAGTACTTGGTTTGGGCCCCTTTTGCAGCACTTACTGCAATTACTTTTGCACGATATTCTAATTATTCGAGTTTCACCTGTATTTTCATTCTGGTATGCATAGGGCAGCATGGTATTTAAAGAAGAACTCAAGGCAATCTAAAAGTTAACCCTTGCAGTGGGGCTACTCTCACACTGTAAGGGTTAATTGCTCATTTTGGTCTAGGTGCTAAAATGAACAATACACTCACCTGATCCTCGGTCCTGCTTGGCTGCTAGACCGGTTCTCACAGCGTCTACCCCCCCGGGCTCCGGCAGTCTTAGTGTCCATGGTATCATCACGTCTAATGCAGGATGCCAAGAGACATTCCACCACCAGAGCAGAGGGGTAAGTGGTCAACACTGCAGGATTGAGGATTAGGTGAGTATGTCTTCTTTATTTTAGCCCCCTACATCAAAACAAGCAGTTTATTTATTTTGCGATTGCCTGGAATTCTTCCTTAAACACTTTCCTGGCTACCAAAACATAATGGGTTATCTCCTGCACAATAACACAGGTAGCAATAAAAACCTGAAGTTCTAAAGGTTTGAACCCTTAATCGATCTGTTAAAAAAATACTTTTCTGTCTGGTTCCCCATTTCAGAGATTTTCCCTTCCTGTCACAGTGACACAATAGGAAACAATTTGAAACAGGGATTTAGACAGCAATACAAACCTAACACAAGTTCTAACCATTCCCACTCTTTACAGTTAGAATGCCATTTGAATCCAGTCTCTTCAGTTCTAAGGCATGGAGTTCAGGCATTCAGAACTGCACTCATCTGGGGAATGTAGGCATGACATTACAGATCTGGTTTAAGGGACATGTTATGTACCATAAAATATCTGATATTAATAGTTTATTGTGGTTTCCTGTTCAAGTGCCATAAGGATCATAGGTAAGCAGGGTAAGAAGAGGATTATTCAGACAGTCCACAATAGATATTGCATGATTTTAACTATTGCACCATAAGGTATTCTTATAATTAGGAAAACTGAAACAGCAGGTTTAAAATGAATAGCAAACTGTGGGGAATAAAAATACAAATACATTTTATTTTTGCTGCATGCAAAGTTCAGAATGCTGAGCAAAGCTTTATGATGTAAACATGTTTATGAAGATTGATTTTACAGTCACTCACCTCTCTCAGCTCTTTGGCCACTTGCTTGAGATCCCGTAAAATTCCCTCTAGCTGACCAATGACTGCCCGTACTCTCCCTCGGATTCTTTCCCTCTCCCCAGCTCTGCCACTCCGTCCCCCTTGCTCCGTGGTCTTCCCCACCCCCCGAGAGCACATGATTCAGAGAGAGGCCTCCAGCCTCCTCTACAGCTTCTCTCCTCTGGGGGGAGCTCTGCATCTTAACGTCTAAACCCCCTTTGGCCCTGCACCCCCTCCCTACACTCCGCCTCTCACTGTACTCCCCAGCCCCCTCTCCAGGAGGGCAAAAAAATGGTATAAGGTCAGGCAGACACTACTTTTGAGGCTACAAGTACACTTGGAAAACAGTGTCTGGTCTATTAAGGAAGGCAGGGACATGAAAGAAGATATCTGAGTGGAGTTTTGTAGTGCAGCACAACTTCGGCGGACACGATAGCAAGTAATAAAGATCCAGAATGAAGCGTTGGCACCTGTGTAAAGAAAATAAGATGACTATTATGCATAGCTATCAAAAGATTTGTGCACGGCTATCAAAAAAAGGCTGCAAAAGATCAATTACAGTTATGGAATGTTACAAGAAGACCATGGAGCCATTATAAAGGCTTTCTACTCTCCCGCTTAGATTTTTCATTCTTATAATATTATAGAAATGGGGCAGAATGCCAAAAAAAAAAGTACAAACAACCAACAAATTCTTCTTGGTGTTTTATGCCCTTGCTTCAATTAAATTATATTCCCCAAGTATATTGAAGCATAATTTAATACAGAGCCACCAAATGATATCTTGTTACAGACAGTTGACAAGCAAAGGAAACACAATAAAGTCACATGCTGTCAAAATTATTTCTCTTTTCATCCTTACAGAACCAACGCAGAACAAAGCTCAGGGTCAAGAAGAACTGACTGAACTGAAGAACAGAACTGACAGTGGAATAAGTATGGAATAAGAGAAAATAAGCAGTGGAGTAGCAAATGGATGTAATGACTCATAAAGCTTTGTTACAATATAAATGTTTTGGTTGGGATTGGGATGTTTAGTTTTATCAAACAAGATTTTTTTGCAATTGTAAGTCATAAATGTAATAGTATTACTATGTCCTACCTAATGGTGAGTAGGGAGCAGGGATAGTTGGACATGCAAACACAATCATACTGCTCTCTAAGCATTCTGGCATCCATTTTAGTCACAAACATGCACACTTGGGTAGCTACAGCCTAATTGAATGGAGGAGAAAGGACGAGAGGGCATGTGCAGTCAAATCCAACTTATCTTGGGGGATCAGATAAAGTTTTTTAAACCTGTCCAATGGGCCTTTCCTCAGAGAGCAGCCTGCTAGTGTGCGTTCTGTTCCCACAGACATAAGATGGCATGCGATAATTTCATGCCTATGATCAGCTTACCTACACAGGAAATTGTTAGAGCTATCTTCTTTGCACGCAATTAACACTAGAACCAATGGCAGATGCTAAGCATTACATAGCTACCTGCTTCGTCTTCAGACCTTCAATTACAGTGCAATGACAGTGCCTGACAGAGAGAAGTCTTCCAGCATCAAATTCCTTTGCAGCTCTCAGTCTTTGGCCTCAAGACATCTCAGAACCACAAATAAAGTCAATAAAGGAAGACAATGTGACTTCAGGTCTGAATAGGGAGCAGTTGGCTACATAATGCCCAGCATGTGTCACTGATTGCAGGTCCCGTTCTTATCAAGGTTTGAATGGTGGGGTATTAGCACTAAGGGCCACCAGCTCAATATATGTCATTTGTACTTGCCCAGAGAGTCCCTCTAGCCTAGTCTTCCCCTGCCTACCAGTATGATGTTCGGAGGAAACCTAAGTGAGTATCTGCGGGAAGCTCACATGAGCACAAGTAAAGGAAAGAAACTCAATGCAGGTGGTTTCCCTAGCAGGAATGTAACTTATGACCCTAATGCTGCAAGGCCAATACACCTAAATACCTAGTCACCATGCTGATAACTAAGTCAAAAGTAGCTGATCAAATTCTACTAGACTTGTCCTGCAATGTTAACCCCTTCATAACTGAGGCCTTTTTTTCATTTTTTTGTGTACATGTTATAATCCACATTTTAGGCCTGAAAATTACTTAAAACCCCCAAACATTGTGTATTTTCTGAAGGCCAAGACCCTATAGAATAAAATAGTAATAAAATATAAAAGATGAGGTTATGGGTAAATAGATACCCATCATGCCCAGGTTAAAAATTGTGTGCGTTCATGAAACTGCAGCAAAATTCAAAACCCCCAAAAGTCCATAGACGATGCTTTAAAAGCTCCCACAGGTCATCAATTTAGAGATACGTGTAAATATTGATCCTAGAATTATTGCTCTCACTCCGGCGTGCACGGCGATACCCAGCATGTGTAGCGCAATGGTCGTTTTCATACATAGCCACTCCCGGCACGTGTTTACTTTAAAAAATGTTTTTAATTATTTTTACATTTATTTTATTTAATATTAATTGTAAAAACTGTAATTTTTTTTACTTTAATTGCTATCACATGGGGGGCTTAAAAGCCCCCCATGTGATAGCATAGTGGTGGTGACAGGTCCTCTTTAAGGTGATGCTGGGGGTCCAAAAGACCTCTAGCATCACCTTTACACTTGAAATAAGCTATTGAAATTCAGATAGCTTATTGCTGGGCTTCAACAGCCCAGCACTGACAGCTATGGGAACGGGAGTGATGTAATCTGCATCGCTCCCGGTTCCATAGTACGGGGAGGAGATCGATGAACAGAGGTTCGCCGATCCCCTCCCAAGCTTCCCCCGACACCAGAGAAGCCAGTCCTGGGCAGCTGAGCCACCAGAATCGCTTCTACTATAAAGCTGACAGTCGGCTTTACAAGTGTAAATAGAGTCCCGGCAGCAAAAGCTGCCAGGAGTCTGTTTAAACGGGCCCGATGCCAGTAGCTCCCTCAACTTGGAGTTAAAGTGGACCTTTACCCTCTTTGACTAAAAATCACATTAGCATATAGCTCTGCATGCTGGTAAGAAATCATCTTACATTTATTAGCTAAACATATTTTACTGACAGTTTCTTTTTTCCCCACTTCCTGGTCCACTTTGGCACAAATTATGTAATCGTGCCCAAGCATTGCATCCTGGGAAGGTTACATAAGCAGTGCAGTGCTGTGAAATCTCATCTGAAATGTCATTAGTTCTTCCCTGAGATGATCTGCATGGTCACATGCCCTTGTCACAAGTGCCAGAGTAACCTGCCCTTAGTGAAAACTAGGAATGCATATACCGATACCGATACTAGAAGCGGCTCCATGCTCTCTCGTCACTTGTGATGAGAGAGCATGGAGCCGACTTCTCGGCCAATCAGGAAGCCAGGCAGCGTGTAATGACGCGCTGCACAGCTTCTTGATTGGTCGGGAAGCTGGCCAATCAGGAAGCTGGCCTCGTGAGGTAAGGTTACCTTACCTTAGTGTGTGCAGCCTGTCACCCCCGGGGCCTCTCCAGCGAGACCGCGGCCTTCCTCCGGTACGTAGCCGTGTGGCAGGCCAATCAGGAAGTCGGGCGCCGTGTAATGACGCGACGCCCTGCTTTCTGATTAGCCGGGAAGCCGGCTTCATGCTCCCTCGTCACGGCTAATCCCGGCTTCCCGGCTATTCAGGAAGCCAGGTAGCGAGTCATTACACGCCACCTGGCTTCCTGAATGGCACTTCCGTTACTCGGTAATTGGTATTGGCGAGTACCGAATTTTTTTTATCGGTACTCGGAATCGGTACCAAAATACCGGTATCGGTGCATCCCTAGTTAAAACGGTCACTGTCAGAAGACTGGGGAAGAAAAGAAAAATAAGGTATGCAAAAAAGTATCTGTTTGTAGATTGTCATTACTAAACATTTCTGAAGGTGCCTTTGTTGTTTTTTTGAAGATATGGGCAAAGTCCCTCTTTAAGGAAGCTGCTTGGATGAATAGTGAAACATCATCAACATTACAGGGCAAGTCCAGTTACATTTGTAAAAAAAAATGGCCAATTCAGATTCCAGATTCTAAAATAAGTGCATGTTTCAGAGAAAAAGATCGGTAACTGCATATCGATCTAAATAGGAAACTGTGGGTTTTCTCTAGGTGAATAAAGTTCAGTTTTCAAATGAACATTATATTTTAAAATTTCTTATTATAACTTTGACATACTAGGATGCAACCATATACTACAAAAGAATGCATGTTCACTCTTTGTATGAAGATCACCCTGTGTGAAACTCTTCCTACAGCCCTGTAGAAGATGGTACACTTGATTTCATCTATAACAGTTTAATTAATATCCAGTTTATTAAGATAGATTCACCTTCCTGTTATCCTGTTGTTCTGTTTGATGAGAGAGCTGATGTTATCTTTATGGCCGTGTGCTGTCTTGTAGTCTGTGTTTGTGTGAAGTCTCCTCTTTCAGTCATGTGTCTTTTATCAGCTCTTAACTAATTAACTGACAAACACCACCACCCCATACGCTTAAAATTTTTTACGCAGCCTTATATGCCCTCTAGAATGCCCACTCGGTCTGTAACAAGCTTACCTCTGTCCATAACCTTTTAGCTTCAGTTCCATTTAACCTAATTGCCATTACTGAAACCTGGCTTCAGGAATCTGACTCTGCCTCTCCTGCTGCCCTTTTCCATGGTGATCTCTACTGGACTCACCTGGGTTCAGTTGATGAAAGGGAGGTGGAGTTGGAGTCGTTCTATCCGCACAATGCACTTTTTAAGTTCCTCCGACACACCTCTCTCTCTCCCTCTCCTCTTTTGAAGCTCACTGTATTCATCTTTTCTTTCTCTAGTCTCTATTAAAATTGCTGTGATCCTGGACAAGTGTCCAGCTTCATTGATGACTTCTCTCCTCTGAAATATACTATTATAATTATTGGCAACTTTATCATCCCTGTTATTGCGAACACTCCGACTGCCTCTCAATTTCTTAACCTAACCTCATCTCCTGACCTAACACAATGAACACAAAAGCCTGACATGGATGGCAACACCCTTGACCTTGCATTCTCCTGCCTCTGTACTCCTTGCAGCTTCTCCAACACCCCTTTTCCTTTCTATGATCACAACCTTATTGGTTTCACACTCACCCTATTTTCAACCCCCTATTCCTTCAACCAGCAAACAGTTACCTGTAGACATCTTCGCTATTTTAACCTCTCCCTTCTGCTACTGAGTAGCTCTACAGCAAGATCTCACCCTGTCCTGCCCTGGCCAGTTCTGTCTGCAACAGCTTACTCTTTCCCTACCTGAACACGCTTGCTCCCCTCAGTACACACAAAATTAGGCCCTGAGCTACAACTGCGGAAAACAGACAACACCAGAAATCCCAAAAGACATAGCCATGCTCTTGAGCTAGTGTGGTGTAAAACTAAGTCCCTGCAAGACTTTGCCCTGTATAAATCTGCCTGCCAAAAAAAAAGGTCCTCCTTCCCTGCCACCAATCAGACCTACTTC